GACACATCAGACGAGCGATATTCCCACGCCCTCAGACCCCTTTGGGGGTATCCGAAGGAACTGTGATCCAACCGCATAGCAGACCTGTCGCCACGTCGCCCCGCGAAGGATTATCAGCAGGGTTCGAATCGGTAGGAACACGATCGATGTAGACCGAGCACAGTAACTCAAGAACAAGCTCCCAGAAAATCCCTACGAGCTCGCAAACGTCTTCCTTGTCCGAATACCTTTGATCAAGGCTGCTTCGACCGGCTCCGAATCAATGAACAACACAACCAGCTTTCCACGGATCTCTTCCCGGAAAGTCTGAACGGCTACGACTGCAGCGAGCAACTCAATCATGCAGATCTGCGTTTTCCTAGGGAACCATCTCTGCATGATCAGCTTCGGAACATCCGAGGAGAACTGCTTAGGCAGATCGTCCCGGGTGAACATGACTCCTCCAATCATCTCAGTAGCCGGATCCTTCGGGTTCGTACTCGGAGCTGAGCCATCCGTGAAGATCACGACGTCGGTCTTCCTGGGCCCCGAGCTGGGAATCGGCCTCGGGGGCCCATGCATGACGAGCGTCCTCCACTTGTAGAGCGAGTACAGCAGCGCCCGCTGGTGTCAGAGCGGTAGCCGAAGTCTTCCGAGAGTACTGCCGATCGGACAGCGCTCTCAGGAAAGCTCGTCCGATCTTGCCCCACAGCTGAGAAGCCCCGAACATGAGCTTGCCGCGGAGCTTCCCGGCCTGACCTGGGGAGAGTTCTTCGTGCTTGAGGATCATGGAGATCTCATCGAAGAGCTCCGTCTTCCGCGACTTCTTGATCTTAAGAAGGTACTGACCAAGGTCGTAGGTGACGCCGAGAATCGTAGGGTCCGAGCACAGCTGAAGCTTTTGCTGGTCGAACCTGGCCCCCAGCCACCAGTGCACTTTTTCCGCGAGCGCGAACGCGCTCGCAGCCGTGGCCTCCGGTTCGAACCCGTACTTGTCGTCGTAGAAGTTGAACCCGGCCACGAAGAACACGCGCCGAAGAACGTCGGTGATGGCCGCCGACCGTCGGTTGTAGTTACTAGTTGTAGACGGCAGAGACAAGCCCGAACGAATGCCCCACCATCACAAAGAAGGCGACCTTGCCAGTCTGGGGATCTTTCAGGGCCACCACGCTCCACTTCCTGTGAGCCGGGGAAATGGGCACCTGACGGTAGGCCCGATGCTCGTCCAAGACCCAGCCCCGAAGAGGCTTGTCAGGGAGCCGCGAGCGCAGCCACTTGATCACCGCGACATTCGCATCCGTAGACGGAAGCTCGAGCTTCTCTGTCACGACGGTCGCAATGTTAATCCCGTTCGAGGTAGCGCTATCAACTCCTCGAACTTTGTTCTTCTGGACGACCTCAAATCTTTGTCGGGATCCAGCAATCGTCCCCTACGAACTCCGAGACCTCCGACTCCTCGAAGAAAGGCCCGATCGCGGCTCCTTCTTCAACATCCTCAAGGGTGGCTTCCCAGACGATCGACGCCCTGCACCGAGTAGACAGCGAGAACAACGCGAATGCCCCGCCACGGCAGAGTCATGTGCAGGGCCTCTTTTGCATTGAAGACGATCGTCTCTTGTACAAAGTCGGTGTTTGTACCCTGTATAGCACGACCGTCAATCTCGCGCCGGTCGAGCCCGAGAGGGTCCTCGATCCACAGCCCGCCCCCTCGGAAATCACTGAGCTTGATCACCACGTTGGGGACAGGCTCGTTGCCCGAGTCACGGTGAGGCTCAGCCTCCTGATCACATAGAACTGCGAACGACGTGAACACGTTCTCCGGCACCTTTTGCTGGATGTACCGCGCGATCGCCTGAATAGACCAAGGCCACGAGTGGCAGGACGACCTAAGCCGCGTGATCCCGCCATGCCGATAGGCGCCAGCAAAGAAGGCGCTGCCTCGCTCGTTCGCAGCCTTGCGCTGTCCTTGATCAGGCAAGTTGAAGGCGAGCTGCAAGATCTCTTCTCGGGTAAGCGGATCTTGCTTCTTCAAGAGCTCTTGGGCGATCGCCTCCACGTCCACGCCACTCATCGCACCCGAAAGGGCGAGATAAGGCTACAGACAGAGACGATAGACGATAAGTGGACCCGCATGTTGAAGGGTGTGTCAACAAAGTCTGCACGTGGTTCATGTGGGTTTTCAGTCCAGGAGCTGAAATTGATCCCAGGGGCACTGCTCCAACCTTTGTTTGATCTTTTCCACGCCATTGAGGACGGTCATTATGGCCGGAGGCTCTCGTTTTCGCTTTGGTTATGTGCCTGCCCAAGGTTGAAGGTCCATGCACTGCTTTGCAAAGACGGCCTATCACTGTCCTGAGTCGCTTGTACCGCTGCTGGGCTAGATATAGGTCATCCGAAATTGCCGAATGGCTTTCGTCCAAACTGCCACCTACGCTTGCCGGTGGGGTTAAGGGCATGTCTGTTACTGACATCAACGCGATGGTTGCGAATTATTTGGAATCCTCGTTTAGCCAGGGTTTGTCTAGGGTAGGGGGTGTTTTTGACATTATCAAATGCTTTAATGCCCTGCCCAGAGAACCCATCCTGTTCTTGATGATCCAGCTGGGAATCAACTGCTCCTACGTCGAAGCTTATCACAACATGTTGCGTTCTTTTACTCGCACCTTCGTTGTTCAAGGTTCGGCTGGTACAGCTGAATACAGTGAAACGGGGTTTCCCGAAGGTTGCAGCATGTCCGTCATCGCAATGACGTGCATGGCATTGTTGGCACATTCTGTCCTCAGCAGTAAGGGCGCAAGTCCTTTCATTTTTGCTGATAATTGGTCCTTCGCCTCTCATACCCTTGAGGCCGGTCAGGCTGCATTCACGGCATTGTGTGATGTATGTGACGCATTCCAGCTTGAGCTTTCTCCCGAGAAATCTTGGGTATGGGCCACCTCGTCGAAACTCCGCAAGCAGTTGAGGCAGGTGGTGTACCGTGGTGTTCCCATTCCTCTCGTTTGGCATGCTAAGGATTTAGGTGTTGATGTCAATTACACATTGCGCCGTCAAAAAACCGTGTGGCGATCACGCTTCCATAAAATGAGAAATTCCATGAGCAAAGTCCGCGTCTCCAAGTTGCCCGTTCACTGCAAAAAGCGCCTCGCCATCAACGGCGGTTCGTCCAGATGCGCATTTGGGGAACCTCTTTTGCATGTATCTGCGTCGGAGTTCAAAACATGGCGCGCCGCCATTGCCAGAGCTCTCGGTTTCAATCGACCCGGTGAAAATGCAAAAATTGCACTGGCCCTTGCTGGTGACGTGATTGACCCTCAGCTTTCTGACTTCTTTCAGAGGTGTTGTTTTTGGAGGCGTTTCTTTGGGAAGTTTCCCGAGTTAAAAATGGAATTTTTTCACAACGTAAATCACGCTGGTTTGCCCAATAGGCCTGCCGGATCTTTTGCAGCGGCTGCGGCAACCATCGGATGGAAGCCAGAGGGTCTGATGCTACACCACCCGTGGTTCGGTTCTCTAGATTGGCTTCGTTGTAGTTCTAAGTTCTTGTGGTTCGCACTCTCACAAACGTGGGTGTTAAAGGTTTGCGCCGAACTTAAAGAAACACGGCCTGGGTTCAATCTTGCCGCTGTAGATATTTCGGGTATGAGAGACCTGTTGTCCAAACTTCAACCCGCTGCGCTTGGTGCAGTTCGTTTCTATGTCCATGGCGGTAACTTTACACATGACGCGTTGACAAAGTGGGATGCGTCTAAAACTTTGCAGTGTCCAAACTGCGATATGCCAGACTCCAAGTATCACCAGGTCTTCCAATGCCAGGCCTATGATGCTTTTCGCGCTGAGTTTCCCGGGTTATTTTCGACGTTGCAGAGATTGCCAGAAGGCGTATGGCGTTTTGGCTTAGTACCCCTTTGCGCTCAGCCTTGGCCGCTTTTCGCCGCTTTGCATTCTGCTTCTTTGCACCTAACGGTGCCCAGCAACAATGATTCGCTGCATATCTTTGTTGATGGCTCCTGTTTCTGGCCCCAAAACCGATTGTTCTCTGTTTCGGCTGCTGCAGCAGTCGTTGCGGACATGTCCTGCAACGGTGAAGGTGTCATGCATTCCCTGGTCTTGCCAGGTTGTGAACAATCTATAATGACCGTGCGGAGGTGTGTGCTATTCTGCTTGCGCTGCAGCTGACGCTGCGCTGCACAGTTTACTCAGACTGCCAATATGCTGTCGATGCGGCCCGTGTCAGAATGGAGTGCCTTCAAACCCAACGCACGCCACCTGCCATGACTCACATTGATCTCTGGGGAAAATTCGATAAGCTACTTGTTGATGGACCACCAGGTTCTGTGGAGTTTAACAAGGTCAAAGCCCATGTGAAGTCGTCCATTGCGTTGCCGCCTTTCTTGGACCGATGTAGGCATTACAACAATCTTGCTGATTCTAGTGCTAAGGCCGCTGTGAAAAATGCGGATGTTTTCTCTTTCAATCAAATTCGTGCGCTGAGTGCTAAGCAAGATGAGCTTCGACATGTCGTTGGTCAATTCCAGAGGTTCATCGCTCGATGCGCTGAGCA